CGTGGCTGGCGCCTTAGCCGGTTGAGCTATAGGCGCCGAGCCGGGCCTCTCGTTTTTTTAGAGAAACTCAAGGTGTCTCCTTGAATAGAGTCCTATGCCATCATAACTCACAGCAACCTCCAACTCGAGCTCAAACGATCCTCTTGCCTCAGTTTTTCTATTTTTAGTAGAGACCTGGGGGTGGGGGAGTAGGAGGGACACAGACTCCTTTTTCACCCTTGGATAATCACAGGGGCAGAGTATCCTCTCAGCTTCCTGGCTCACTCTAGTTCTGCCTTCAAATTTGTCTGGGGGCTTTGGACTGAAGGACTGCAGTAGAACAGTTTAGATTTGATGGTTAGCTAACATATATCCCACAGCATCTTGGGCCTACTCTCAAAAACTATGAGTGCACGTGTAACTGATGGAAGAAACCAGTGCCCTGAAGTTATCTAAGAGGGCTGGGATCTGAGCTCCCAAGCTCACTCTTGAAGAGCAGAGCCAGATCCTTGCCTGCAGGGCAGCTTCACCTCACCCCACCTACCCTGCTGACCTTTGGGTTCAGTTTCCCACACAGGAAGACCCTATGCCAGATACCAAGACTGCAGATGCCTCCCTGTCCCTTTCCTGCTCTCCCCACAGCTCCCCCAACACACACAGACTGTGCCTTTATTTCTGACATCTCCAGTCTTCCCACTTCTCTCCATCTCCACCACCACCATCATCACCCACAGACTCCATCACTTTTTCTTTTTCAGACAGAGTCTCACTTTGTTGCCCAGGCTAGAGTGCTGTGGCATTAGCCTAGCTCACAGCAACCTCAATCTTCTGGGCTAAAGCAAATGGACTTTGAGCCTCAGCCCACCATGACACTGGGCTAGTTTTTCTTCTTCTTTTTTTTTTTTTTCCTGTAGAGACAGAGTCTCACTTTATCGCCCTTGATAGACTGCCGTGGTGTCACACAACTCACAGCAACCTCCATCCTGGACTTAGATGATTCTCTTGCCTCAGCCTTCCAAGTAGCTGGGATTACAGGAGCCTGCCACAAGGCCCAGCTATTTTTTTGTTGCAGTTCGGCCGGAGCCAGGTTTGAACTCGCCTCCCTTGGTATATGGGCTGGCACCCTACCCATATACCATATAGAGCCATAGGCGCTGCCTCTATTTTTTTCTTTTTAATGGGATGCTTCACAAATTTGCATGTCATCTTTGCACAGGAGCCATGCTAATTTTCTCTGTATTGTTCCAATTCCAGTATATGTGCTGCCAGAGCAAGCACTGTTTTTTGTATTTTAAGTAGAGACAGGGTCTCACTCTTGCTCAGGCTAAGCTCAGGGTGGCTGAGCTCAAGCCATCCTCACATCTCGGCCTCCCAGAGCACTGGGATTACATGAGTGAACCACCACACCCAGCCAACACCACTATTTCTTGCCCGGATATTACAGTGTCCCCATGATTGTTCTGTTGGTATCTATTCTGTCTCCTTCAGTCCACTCTATGCATTACAGTGCATAGCCAGTGATTTTCTAAATCTGAAGAAACATCATTCACCTGCTTAAATTTTTTTTCATATAATAATTTCAGATTATCTGTTTTGTTTTTGTTTTGTTTTGAGACAAGAGTCTCATTATCTTGCCCTCCGTAGAGTATAGTGGCATCATAGCTCACAGCAATCTCAGATTCTTGGACTCAAGTGATTCTCTTGCCTCAGCCTCCAGAGTAGTTGGGACTAGAGGTGCCCACCACAACACCTGGCTATTTTTTAGAGACGGGTCTCACTCTAGCAAAGGCTAGTCTCGAACTCAGAACTCATGAGCTTAGGTGATCGATTTGCCTTTACCTCCCAGAGTGCTGGGATTACAGGCATAAGCCATTGCACCTGGCCCAGGCAATTTATTTTTTTCTTGAGATAGAACCTCAAGCTGTCACCCTGAGTAAAGTGCCATGGCATCACAGCACACAGCAACCTCCAACTTCTAGGCTCAAGCGATTCTCCTGCCTCTGCCTCCCAAGTAGCTGGGATTATGGGCACTGCTATAAGGCCTGGCTAATTTTTGGTTGCAGCTGTCATTGTTTGGTGGGCGCCGGCTGGATTCAAACCTGCCTGCTCAGGTGTATGTGAATGGTGCCTTAGCCACTTGAGACACAGGGGCCAAGCCCCAAATATGGCCCTTTAACATATTCTTTTAACTTTTTCTTTCTTTTTTTTTTTTT